AAATGATTCACTCGGGTTCATTACAAGGAAGAAGATGAAACAAACAGGAACGTATTTCTGCAATAACAGTAGTTTTCCTGAGAAGTCCCCCAAATGCTAAATATGGTGGCACTTTCCTAATGTTGTTGAGCTGTACAACTTAATACTGTTAATGACTGTGAACAATACTGAGGCCTGTGAATGTGACCTGGTGAGCAGCAACATCCCCGTCTTCCCTGGTGACCTTCACCTCAAAACCCTGCTGTTTACTTGCAGCTAAAGGAAGAATAATAACAAGCATGTCAGACGTTCTGGGCCTTTCTCTAAATTTTGAATATCAAAGCCTTCATTAATACTTATTAAAGATTTACCTGTACAAAGAGATTTGTTATTTAAATATTAATACTACGTTACTGGAAAACGCCCCAGCGTTATATAACGCAATTTCTAAAAACGTGTATCACGTTATTCCGTTTCTATGCTTTATTAAGGTTGTAATTTGCAGTTTCTGAATTGGGTCTCTGAGAGTTTTTTTCTCTAAAAACACGTCATATACATACCTTTTCAGTGCTTATATGCCAATTTTCTAGCTGAATCAATCAGCACAGCAATATCCTATTGCATGACGGCATCAAATCAAAGAAATGGTCTTTCCCCGTTTGCTAGTCACAGGAAATGTCGGAAAGGATTGGTTAGAATGTGCTGTTTCACGCGTCATTGAGGTTATGAAATACAGAAAAAAGAGAGGCTCCCCTTTCCACAGGTATTTCAGAAAAAAACGTACAGCAAAGTACACGGGCCAACATGCATGGTGAGGCTGGTCTTCCAAAAATTATGCGCTTGGTAATTCGAACATCTTTGCATATTCTGTTGACTTGTCACTCTACTGAAGAAGTGAATTCAGCACGATGATACCAAGGCTTAATTGCCCTGTATAGTTTTGAGATGAAAGAAACCTGGAGGGTGTAGCTTGCATGTCACAGTTGTGGACCAATAATCAGAAACTCTGAGACAAACCGGTGGATCAATGAGAAGGAGTCATGAGGAAAGCAAAATGTGCCTGGTAATTGGAGCCGACACAGGGCGTAGGCGTGCCTTTCACGTGCTGGGCGGGACTGGGCGCTCTATATAAACCCGCTCCACTGAGAGCAATGCATTCGCTTCTCCTGCTTCATCCTCCTTGCAGAAGAAGGTAAGTTGGAATAGATTTAGAAAACCTGATGAATAAGGAAGAGATGTATTTGATTCTATTTCCCCTGCCTCCTACCTACTAACCTACAAGTGCTGTAGATTAATGCATTGGGAATTAAGGTTGTGATTCGATGAGAAGTATTTATATGTATGGTATTATTTCATCCCTGGATTTTCATCACTATTTGAGTGTTTGAACTGTGTTAGTCCTGTGTATACCCCTCTTTTCCCTTCAAGTTTTTATCTCAGGATAGCTGCTGAGGATTTTCCAGTTTATTTCCTGACAGCTCCCTTTTGATGCAGATGTCAAAGTTCACAATCCCATCTCCTGGAATGATCCATAGGTGCAACCAGTGGGGCTGCTCAGGAAAGCTCAGAAAGGCTGCTCAGGGTAGAAGGGGAAGGGGAAGACCTAGCACTAAAAATCATGATAGAACAGCAGATGAGCACAGAGGGTGTCGGGCAGCGCGCCTGTTTGCTGTCTCTCTCTTCCCTCCCCACGTGCTTGCAGCATTTATTTGAGATCTACTTGCTGTTGGGAGCATTCCTTGTAAGGCTTTTTCTTCCCTGTTATGTTTCAGGCTTGCCTCCCTCCATCGCACCAAGATGACTTTCTGCTACCAGACCCAGTGTGAGGATAGCTGCTGCTCTCCCTGCCACTACTGGACCGGGCACAGCTGCCGCACCTACGACTGCGAGAAACCCTGGGACCGCCGAGGCTACTGGGGCCATGGGTGTCAGTACGGTCATCGGGAGTGGCACCCCTTCCCCAGCTCCCGCTGCTGGCACCCCTGGTCTTCCCACTACGCCCGTAAATACAACCACGGAAGATGGTACCATTACTAAATCCAGAAGGATTTAATGGGAAATGAGGACTGAGAATTGGTTACCGAATCCATGGCTGCTCTTAAGGAGAGGGTTTGCAGAGGCTCTGAATCCAGGACTGCGACTGAAAGCTGTAGTATTTTGGAGAGCTCAGTGTTTCTGTAAAACTTCTTCAATGATCTTCTGAAATGTTTTATCTTCCTTTTTCTCTACCGACTTCCTTAACCCTTCATGGGTTTGGTGAGGTAAAGGAAGTCGGGCTTAATATGGGTAAAAAATTTCTTAATTAGTTTATAGCTCTTTCCCAGCTAACATTAATGAATTTTAGATTGTAACTGTACTTGCCTTCCCTTGGATATGTTTCTGACTTAACTGCTTTTGAAGCCATACCAAGGAAACTGTAAATCATCTGATCTGATTTGTTTCATTGGACTTAAAGCAAGTGGAAAAGTTTGAAAATGGAAATTGATAGTCAAATGCTACAGCTGTAGCAGCAAAAATGATACCTATGAAACTGGAAGGTTTTCTGCAGATATAAATTAATCTCTGTATGCATTCTTTCTGTTTCTGCTTTCTGTACTATTTTAGACTGTGATTGTGAGCTTTTCTCTTATTAAAAATGTTATAGCATCATTACATGTTCCTGTTTTTCTTTTTGTGACGTGGATGTACGCAGATTTTTGTCCCATTTGATGTGTTTTACAGACACATGCTGCACCTTGTAGCTTTTATGAATGTCAACCGAACCTGAGCACACATTTTGCGAACTAATAACCCAGAAAATGAAATTACCCATTCTGGAATTTTCTAGGCAGGATTTGGGAATATTATTTTAAATTCACCTTTGCATCACAGTGCGTGTGCAGACATTGGACCATAACAGCACCACATCTTAGTGAATGCACAGGCTGCCTGCAGCCAAACCAAATTTCACTGGGAAATAAGCCAAGACGTTGGGAGAAAATCCCTCTTTCTCAAGCACTTTTGTACCAGCAGCGTCTGGGATGCTTTCTGGATTTAGAGACCTGATTTGTTACAGAGCAGAAAATCGCACACTTTCCGTTCACCTTATTAAGTGCTGGTAAGGATGAGCGTTTGCAAGTGTTACTGCAAGGCTCCATTTGAATGACAATGAAATAGCGTGACATTCCCAGGCTGCACAACCACACAGCTGTTATTAGGGTGAGATCCCTTGACGCAAGGCTGAAGTGACTCTATTATTCACGACTGAAGTACCTAACTGGCAGCAGGAGTAACTTCTTAATAGTAGGATGCTGTAACACAGTCTAGGCATGAAAGAACCAACAAAGCACTTTGAAAGCCCTATTAAACTCTAGAACCCTTTTTTTGTGAATGTAATTGCTGTCCTTTGAACACACACAGAGACAATTTGAGGGCAATCTCACAATATGAACAGAGGTCAAGTGTGCTACTATAAAAAACACAAGTACAAAATTCATCAAAAACCTGTGGATTACACTTCCAGCACCTTTAGGGATAGAGCTTTCTCATGGCTTCTGAGGAGCTTTGTTCCTAGAAAAGCACTCACTGACTTTGATGCTTGAAATAGTCCCTGTAGTAGCACAGTGCAAGTTGCTGTTCAACCTGTATCTTGACATTCAGGTCTATAAATTTAGCTGGACCTGGTCATAACTTCAATTTTTCATTAGCTATATGTATTAAATAAAATCTGGAAAGTTATGAATAAGTAACTAAGTAAAAACTGGAAAGTATTAGGTGTCTCAAAGTGCACAAGAGACAATGTTAGCTTAAAATAATTGCTAATATCTAGCAATCTAGTAGTTCTGCAGACTGTTTATGAACTTAACTGCTTCAGCAGGGGACCTAGTTAAAAGAAAGAGTTAGAAACTCGTGGAATGACATACACATATATGTTTCTTCCGCTCCAGGACATCTGAAAACAACACTAGAAAGAAATCCAGATTTCTGGGATGAGAAGGCAAACTAAGTAATTGTAGAGTCTATCATGGTTGTTTGTAAAGAGGCACATTTGAATGAGAGATTTTAAGGCTATAAAATGACATTCTAAAGCATATATTGAAGCGTCTCAACATATACTTTTGAAGTGACTGTTATTCAATAACAAAGCACCTAACAAGAGCAGTAGGCTTTTAATAGAGTAATAACACGCTATAAAGATGTAAAGTAGTTACGAGCATCTGAAAAGTGCTTTGAACTCCTCAGACTACCTAGCGTGGAAAAACGTGAAGACGTCATATGTTTCTGCTTGAGGAAAGGACCTGAAAGTAACAAATAAATTCACTGATATTTTTTTCCTTTGAAAGCTGTCTTTTACAACCGGGCTGAGAGCTTGTTTGTATTTGTTGTGTGCCACAGCACAAGGGTGTCTATCATAAGCTGTTGAACCTCTCGCAAACCCTGTTTGCTAGCCCACGCCAATATTGCCATCTGATATTTAACCCTGTGGCTTGAGCTGCGTTATCACCATATCCCTGACCAACATGGAAAATCAGAAGAGCAAGTTCATACAAACTGACCAAAAGCCAAGTTATTGATGCAATGAGGATTCTTTAATTGGGATGGGAAACGCAATAGATGGTGACAGCAGGAAATGAAACAATACAGAAAAAATGAATTGGGAACACGAGAATCATAAGGATGCTGCAAAGCACAACCCAGGGCTCCACGACAAAGATTTCCCCCCACCACCTCCAATTGCAGACTGGAAGTCTCAGAGTCGGACAGAGCAGAGGAGACTCTCATCTGAGGTTGAGTACAGCTTCGTTGTATCGCAGACAGCGGAGAGCTTTTGGAGGCAGTGCTGGAAAGCCTAAAGCCACCAACTGAAGATCTGCAGGATTAGTCTGTGCAAATAAGCAAGGACCATAAAATCCAAGTAGCTGCTTTGCCACAGCCTAAAGAGGGGCTGAAAGCTTTGTTCTGCACTGGTTGTAAAAGACAAGAGGTGCTACTTGCGAGGACCCAGGGCAGATGCTGCATTGAACTCCATGGATATTTGGGGCTTAGCAGGGCCCACAGTTGCCACTGAGGTACCTGTGGCAACTGAGCCGGCCACCATATCCACAACCCCCAAAGCCTCCATAGCCCCCATAAAGCCCATAGCCTCCATAACCCCCATAGCCCCCATAGCCTCCATAACCCCCATACCCTCCCTC